GCATGCTTTCAATCTATTTGGGCGACCGCCTTCGTCATGGTGCAGAGTATATATAACTGTGCTTACTCTCTTATTTGCATTTCTGGTGGTAAAACAAGTTCATAACGACGGATTTTACATTTTAGGTCTCCTCTATAGAAGACAAGAACGAATGCGCTTCTGTGATTGTAAAGGCTTTGAATCTGGCAATGGAAATTGCCTCAGAAATAAAGAATGGGCGAAGTGCAGGATACGTGCCCTATGAAACTCAGAAGCGCATGGACAATACGGAGGTGGAAATTCTGCTTGTGAGTTTTCGTGTGATCCTTTTTCGATTTAGTCATCTTGCTTTCTTCTCTTAACCTCTGCTTTGTTCAGGAATACCATCCATACCTTTTCCGTCAGCTCGAAAAGGGTACTTACCGCGTTTTTGGCACCTTTTGTGAGGCAGTCGATACTTATTATGCCACGCTAGAATCGCAGAAGCAGGTAGTATATTGGCTTTATCTTGCTTTTTTTTTACAAAATGCTTGTTTGTTACAGCAGCAGAATGCTCTCAAGGTCGAGAAAGAAGCCATCAAGAAACTTGAAAATGTCAAGAAAGATCAGGAACGTCGCATCCTGGAGCTTGAGTACAGCAAGGAAGAAAAGATGGTCATGGCTGACCTCATCATTCACAACAAGGTATGAAATTTGCTGTTTGGATCTGATCACATTACGTTATCCAGACTTCTCTCGATTATATAGGCAGTCGCTTTGATGTCTTACCCATCGTATATATGGTTTTTCTCATTTCATATCTTATACACAGGTGCCAGACTTAAGCGATGCTCATTCATCCCTTTCGCTATTGGTCAATACAGTATTTGACCAATAGCGAATGAGCGAACCGGATAAGTCTGGCACTCATCATATCTTTTGCACATCTCTAATGCTAGTTAAGCAATTTTCTCCACTTTGGAACGACTGGGTCATAACAAACCTTTTTTAAAATAATTGCTCGATTACAAATTCTGCTTACTTCAGGCCATCGTGGATGCTGCTATACAAGTCATTTGCAGTGCTCTGGCACGAAAAACTAGTTGGGAGGATGTGGAAAGAATGCACCAAGATGCCGTTGAGAAAGGAGATGCAGTGGCCAGGTTTAGTTTTATTTTTTATCAGCTACTTTTTCCACACTTTTCCATCAAATATCCAGGTCTTCTTGACTTTTAGAATGTATTTTGTTGAATCGTTTCTAGATTTCTTTGTCCGATTTCAGTGCCATTACTAAGCTTGATCTGCAGAATAATAGAATTATAATGCGCCTAAAAGAAGAGTACGAGGATATTCCACCGTAGGTTCAGTACCATAAATTCATTTCAAATTTCAACAAATCATTTTAGGAAAGATGTACCTATTAGTATAGACACGAACGCATTTGGAAATGCATGCAAATTCTATCATGGCATGAAAGCAGCTGCGGAAAAGGTTAGTCTGTGTTTTTATGGGTAACTAATGCCATAGGTTCGTTTCAGGCCCTTAGAACAGAAGTAGCTGCGAAGAAGGCTATTAGAAATGCAGAGGACAAAGCAACTACTACCATAAAAAAGGTACATTGAAGAGATTTATCTTTATTGCACTTTATCCGTATTTTAGGTCAACATCAATGTAAGCTCTGTGAAGACACGGAAGGAAATGTGGTTCGAGAAATTTATCTGGTTCGTATCCTCGGAAAAGTACGTGGTCCTAACCGGACGCGACGCTACGCAGAATGAACTGCTTGTCAAAAAGTATGTTTTTTATACTTTCTGTTTCTCTCCTGAATTTGTTTGTGGTGTACTAAAAACATGAAATGTG